CCGCCGAGTCGGCACAGCCATTATATAAAAGGAGAACCTGAGACTTGTGTTGACGTGTCTGTATGTATATTGTGTGTTGGTTTGTTATTTTACTTCTTGTCCCTAGCGCAGCAGTGAGCAGAGCAGATAAGACTAGACAACATCATGCGTTACTTTCTCAAAGTTTCTGTATCTCTGTATGAGAGTACTTGTGCCAGTCAGTTACTACCGACGTGTTGATCAAGCCTGCACGTTCTGGTCGTACCACTGGCACTGACCTTGTCATTATCCACACGCCAGTTCCGGTATACATTGCAAGTCAGCAGATTTACTAAAGTCAATATTTTTTGACATGTTGATATTGATTGTTAGTAAAACTCTGCTGATGAGCCAATGGTATTAACTATTATGTAAAGACATGCAGCGCGGGCAAAGTCGCGGCGAAGCGATGTACAATGCACTAGCGATGCACTACTGACCCACTCTGTATCCATAGCGCCCATAACTTGCATAAGCGGTTCGGCTGGTAGCGGTTCTCAAGCCGCGGGCTCCGTTAGTCTCATGATGACTGTTCTTTGGTTGGTTGGATTTATTAAAATTCTTTCGCATAACCTGATGATGATGGTGATGAAGAGCTTGAGATTTGTAGTTTCTCTGTCACTGACAATACAGTATGCTAACGTTTGTGCATGGTGTGAGTTTCAGTCGTGTTGGGTCATGACTATCAGTACGCAGTGAATTTTGAGTGCTCTTCTGTTTCTCTGCCCCTTTTCTGAGACTCTTCACTTTCAGAATCAAAATGTCCGAGGTTCAAAGTAAGCGGAGGGATTCGAAAAACCAAGAGAAAAGTCGAAAAGGCAGTGGTGAGCGAAGCTGCTTGGAACATGCCAAGAGGAAATGGCAACGTGAAAGACAACAACTACGGCAGGAGAAGCTGCAGCAGCAGCAGCCACCGCAGGAGGATCCGCAGCAGCAGCAGCAGCAGAAATTACTTTGGCAAGTACTGATGTGCACTTGATCCCCTAATGTAACACATCAAGGTCCAAGGGGGAGTCGGTGTGCAGGAAGAGCGCACAGTGTGGTATGCTTCTTCACCTTTGTAGACAGTAGCGTTTACCCGCACATTACATTCGCCTTTGTAACAGTAGCATCTACCCACATTACATTCACCTTTGTAAACGGTAGCGTCTACCCCACATTCACACACAGCTTTCCACCGCTGAAAGACCCACCCTCTCCATGCTGATGTTGCCGGATGAATGCAACTGTCTACAATGTCAGTGTACACAAATGTTTTTGTCTAAATGTTGTTTTTGTCTAAAGTAGTCCGGTTGGACATCATGTGATTGAGGAAAAAGCCCTTGTTCTGTGTAAAAGAGAAATAAAAAATTATTTTGTAGAATCGTATATTGGTGTTCTCGTTCCTAAGCTGTCTGGAAGAGAAATGGAAATTTATGCTGTCTGCAAATCTCATGTCAAGCCTGCAAAGTATTGGCAATACTGGCGATATCATTTTTTTCCATTATATAAAAGGAGAACCTGAGACTTGTGTTGACGTGTCTGTATGTATATTGTGTGTTGGTTGTTATTTTACTTCTTGTCCCTAGCGCAGCAGTGAGCAGAGCAGATAAGACTAGACAACATCATGCGTTACTTTCTCAAAGTTTCTGTATCTCTGTATGAGAGTACTAGTGCCAGACAGTTACTACCGACGTGTTGATCAAGCCTGCACGTTCTGGTCGTACCACTGGCACTGACCTTGTCATTATCCACACGCCAGTTCCGGTATACATTGTAAGTCAGCAGATTATTAAACTAAAGTCAATATTTTTTGACATGTTGATATTGATTGTTAGTAAAACTCTACTGATGAGCAAATGGTATTAACTATTATGCATGTTGGTTTTGGGCATTCCGCCTGGTTTTCTTCCGTAGTGCTGATTGTAGAGGTTGGCTTATTGAAGTTCTTTTTTCCTTCTTTTTCTTTCTTTTTCCTTCAAACAATTATTCTCTTCATTTGTGTTAACATCCTTCATCTTGGCAAATTGTGTTTTGTTGCCCGTAAAAGAGGCTTTTGGAATTAACTATTACATGTATGTAAAGACATGCAGCGTGAGCAAAGTCGCGGCGAAGCGATGTACAATGCACTAGCGATGCACTACTGACCCACTCTGTATCCATAGCGACCATAAGCGTGTTGGCTGTTAGCGGTTCTCAAGCCGCGGACTCCGGTAGTCTGCTGACTCCTCATGATGACTGTTCTTTGATTGGTTGGTTGGATTTATTTAAATTCTTTCGCATAACCTGATGATGATGGTGATGAAGAGCTTGAGATTTGTAGTTTCTCTGTCACTGACAATACAGTATGCTAACGTTTGTGCATGGTGTGAGTTTCAGTCGTGTTGGGTCATGACTATCAGTACGCAGTGAATTTTGAGTGCTCTTCTGTTTCTCTGCCCCTTTTCTGAGACTCTTCACTTTCAGAATCAAAATGTCCGAGGTTCAAAGTAAGCGGAGGGATTCGAAAAACCAAGAGAAAAGTCGAAAAGGCAGTGGTGAGCGAAGCTGCTTGGAACATGCCAAGAGGAAATGGCAACGTGAAAGACAACAACTACGGCAGGAGAAGGTGCGGTAGCAGCAGCAGAAATTACTTTGGCAAGTACCGATGTGCACGTGATCCCCAAATGTAACACATCAACGTCCAAGGGGGAGTCTGTGTGCAGGAAGAGCGCACAGTGTGGTATGCTTCTTCACCTTTGTAAACAGTAGCGTCTACCCCACATTACATTCACCTTTGTAAACGGTAGCGTCTACCCCACATTCACACACAGCTTTCCACCGCTGAAAGACCCACCCTCTCCATGCTGATGTTGCCGGATGAATGCAACTGTCTACAATGTCAGTGTACACAAATGTTTTTGTCTAAATGTTGTTTTTGTCTAAAGTAGTCCGGTTGGACATCATGTGATTGAGGAAAAAGCCCTTGTTCTGTGTAAAAGAGAAATAAAAAATTATTTTGTAGAATCGTATATTGGTGTTCTCCTCGCACGAGCTGAAAGTCTGAGAGTACTGAGAGTACTCAGTACTGAGACATTCCACTGCATGAAAGTCAGCTTGAGCACTGCTCGATAGCTAACCAACGGCTTTCCAACTTGGAAGGTGCATAGATATCAGTGCTAATTCCAAGGAGGGGAAGGCGAGCGCTATCGAGCCGAGCACAAGCTACATTCCAAGGCTTCATGGAATGCTGGCCTGGTATGATGACGGGACGGCAAGACCAGACCGAACGGTCAAACCACAATTCGACAAGGCAAAGAAAAAACCACCCAACTAACTTGGGAGGCTCGATATTATCAGAGATGAAAATAGAATGAAGGGGAAGCTTCTCGAGGACGAATTGTAACAAACCGAACGCCAGTATCCTACAGTAATGTACTTAGTTGATGACAATGATGACTAACTATACGCAATTACATGTATAGTATCACATGACCATCGTTTCGCTATACTGTTCTTGACGGCTTTTTACTACTTTAGGTGTGCATTAAGAATTCAGATGGTGAGCCAAGGAAAAAATGTGTAACATGGAAATTGTGGGCACAAGTTGTGCGATCGAGTCCACCAACTAAACCAGATTTTGAACGGCCAGACGTGCACAATCTAGCACAAAACTGACAAGGAGGACTAAGACATTCCACGGCGTGAAAGTCAACTTGAGCACTGCTCCATAGCGCTAACCATCGGCCTTCCAACTAACTTGGAAGGTCAGCAACGTTGTGGAATCCAGCCCAGAAGGCCTCACAGCTGCCTTCATAGTGATAATGGTTGCACGTACGCGGGAGGTGGTGAAAGAGCACATTCTTCTGTGGAGCAGGACCATCAGCCAGCAGGATGCATGGTTCCGTCGGAAAATGGCGAGTATACCGCTATGCCGCCCTACTGTACAGATGGCGAAAACTTCCGAAATTTAATCACACTATAATACTACTGTTGTGGGAAATGCCACGAGTATTGTGCTAGCACTGTGCTCATTCCAAATCGCACACTTTAATGCTTGCTATAATGCTAGCATTATCCGCCCAGCCCTACATGCTGTAGTGTCAGTCAGTTGTTCTACTTGGTCAAAGTCGGCAAAAACAAGTGCCGGCAACCTATTAACATGTTCCCTTTTCGTGTTCCCTATTGTTATGTATGTTCCAACTGATGATCGTCACAAGAAAACGTTCTTGGAAACCTTGAGACCTTGAGACGTACCCACCGTACTTCCCCGATTAGAAGTCGGGGCAGCCTATTCTCACGTCCGAACCAAATCGTCACAATGCATTTACATAAGTAAGACGTCACACTCGATTGTAAGTCTCACCTCCTTCTTTGCCTTTGAAGTTCGGTACTAGTAGTCAGCCCCGACTCAATAGTTGTTTGTTCTTTCAACCCACAATTTCCGTGTTCTAGTCGTTTCTTCGTTCTCCCTGCATGCAACTTTGTTATCTTTCTTGTTCTTATTTTCGTCTCGAGCCGGGTTTGTGTTTTTAGAGAAGAAAAAAAAACTCTAAAATGGTGCGACCAAGAGTACATAACCCCCCCCCCCCCCCCCCCCCAGAGTGTGCAACGCCTGATCCAGCTGTGCATAGGATCTTGGTCGAGCGGAATCGGATCTTTGCGTCATAATACCGTACACATCTGAGGGGAACCCGGGAAGTCGCGGGTACTCTCGGATCAAAAACAATGGTGCCCTGCCTCGAGACCGGCCTTGCGCTGGTGTGGAGTGTACGCATGACATCAGAAGATCCGATTCCGCTCGACCAAGACCTTATGCAGAGCTGGATCGGCGTTGCACACTCTGGGGGGTTATGTACTCTTGGTGCGACTTACATTCCTCGAAATACGGTACCTAGCTTGATTTACGCAAAATAACGTTACTGGTACGGTTTATCTCGTTTATCTCGTATAGGGAAGCTTCCCGTACGGGATGAGATGCTGACAGTTTGGCCGCCGAGTCGCCCCAGCCATTATACTTTTAGAAGGAGAACCTGAGACCTTCAATGAAGTGTTGGATCTTGTTGGTTGCTGTTATTTTACTTCTCCTCACGCAGCAGTGACCAGAGCAGATAGCGTGACCAGTGCATTGCACACATGCTTTTACAGTCCGTATCTCTGCATGAGAGTTCTAGTCCTAGACAGTGACAACCGCCACGTGTAGAATCAAGACTGCACGTTCTAACCGTGCCACTGACCTTGTCATTATCCGTACGCCAGTTCCGGTATACATTGTAAGTCCGCAGATTATTAAACTAAAGTCAATATTTTTTGACATGTTGATATTGATTGTTAGTAAAACTCGGATGACGAGCCAATAGTATTATGTAAAAGACATGCAGCTTGGGCAATGTCGCGGCGAAGCCAAGTACGTACAATGCACTAGCGATGCCCTACTGACCCACTCTGTATCCATAGCGCCCATAAGCGCTTCGGCTGTTAGCGGTTCTCAAGACGCGGGCTCCGGTAGTCTGCTGACTCCTCATGATGACTGTTCTTTCGCATAACCTGATGATGATGGTGATGAAGAGCTTGAGATTTTGTTGTTTCTCTGTCACTGACAGTACAATATGCTAACGTTTGTGGATGGTGTGAGTTTGAGTCGTGTTTGGTGATGACTATCAGTACGCAGTGAATTTTGGGTGCTCTTCTGTTTCTCTGCCCCTTCTCCCAGATTTTTCACTGTTGACTGCAACAATCAAAATGTCGCAACCGCCCTCAAAGAAGGTGTCGACATCGCCCACAAAGTGGAGGCCATATGGTCCGCACCGAAGGCAAGAGCTGCAACGGCAAGAACAACAACTACGACAGCAGCAGCAGCATCTACAACAGCAGGAGCAGCAGCAGCTGCAGCAGCTGCAGCAGGAGCAGGAGGAGCAGCAGCAGCAGCTGCGGCAGCAGCATTATCAGCAGGAGCTACAGCTGCAGCAGCAGCAGCAGGAGGAGAAGCAGCAGCTGCTGGAGCTGCTGGAGCAGCAGATGCAGCAGCTGCGGGAACAGCATCAGCAATCGCCACAGCAGCAGCTGCTGCAGCTGCTGCAGCAGCAGCAGCAACCGCTACATCAGCACCTGCAGCACCAGCAGCTGCTGCAGCAACTACAACAGCAGGATCAGCAGGGGCAGCAGCAGCTGGGGCAGCTGGGGCAGCAGCAGCATGAGCAGCAGCTTCAGCTGCAGCAGCAGCAGCTGCAGGAGCAGCAGGAGCAGCAGCAGCTGCAGCTGGAGGAGCAGCTGCAGCTGCAGCAGCAGCAGCAGCAACCGCAGCAGCAGCCGCCACAGCAGGAGCAGAGGAACAGGAGACTTTGGCAAATACCGATGTGGATTTGCTCAGGATGCCAGACCAAAAACATCGAGGTCCAAGGGGAGTCGGTGTGCAGAAATTGTGAAGAGTGTAGGTATGCTTCACCTTTGTCTACGCATGCGTCTACGTCTACACCCGCATTACCAACGGTAGCATCTACACAAACAAGCGAAGGAATGAATACCCTGCCGTCGTTGGAAAGTATGGTCAGCACTTTCCAGTCGAATCTGGCCACTTTGAACGAGAGCAGCAACGTCGTTGAAGTTGACTGGCCGTGCTTGATATGCATGAATATGAATCGTGCCACCCTTCCGCAGTGTTACGTGTGCTACGCCCCCCGGCGGCGGTCTTGATTTGGACGTGCATGGTACTATACTCTTTAGGATTCAACGGTTCTCTTGTTCTATGTAAAAAGAAATAGAGACATATTTTCTTAAGGCGCCTTTTAGTGTTCGCCTCGTTTCCTAAGCTATCTTGGCAGAGCATCGGGAATTTATGCTGTTTGCAAATCTCATGTCCAGCCTGCAAAGTATTGGCAATATCTTTTTTTTCCTTTGATTTTGTGCGGCCGAGAGCCTGCTCGTGGGGCGGACATTGGAAGCGAAAGTGAAAGGGAAACACTGTACCCAGTCTGGAGGTGCAGAGTTCCTCAATTCATTTATTGGGTGAAATTAGCACATGCACAGTAGAGGAGAAAGGACTCAGTGCGACAACTGAAGTGGAAGAAAACGCTGTACTAGTACATTTTAAAGCTCGGATGATGAGCCAATAGTATTATGTAAAGTGATGCTTCGGCAAAGTCGCGGCGAAGAGAAGTACATGTATGTACAATGCACTAGCGATGCACTACTGACTCACTCTGTATTATATCCATAGCGCCCATAAGCGGTTCTCAAGCCGCGGGCTCCGGTAGTCTGCTGACTCCTCATGATGACTGTTCTTTCGCATAACCTGATGAGGATGGTGATGAAGAGCTTGGGATTTGTAGTTTCTCTGTCACTGACAATACAGTATGCTAGCGTTTGTAGGTGGTGTGAGTTCGAGTCGTGTTCCGTTATGACTATCAGTACGCAGTGATTTTTGAGTGCTCTTCTGTTTCTCTGCCCCTTCTCCCAGACTCTAACTGTTGACTGCGACAAAAGAAAATGAGGAGGGCATCTGACGCCCAACGAAGCGGGGAAGACACCAAGCGGCAGCGGAAAGTGCCGCATGACGTGCTTCGCCAGCAACTCAGGACTATCTGCAATGCTCCGGCTACGAGTTGGTTTAAGAACTACCTCGATACGCGTACATTCAGTGTCCGCGTCCAACACCATCTGTCCTCCCCACGTCCCGTCAAGTCTGGAGTACCCTAGGGTTCCCACCTCGAGCCATTGCTTTTCCTGGTGCATATCAACAGCTTACCCAGTGCCTCAAAACGCAACCAGCACGCTGATGTTTACCTGTTCGCGGATGATACCGCCGTCGGCCCAGCACGAACCAAAGGGACCAGCCCAATGTAGACTGCCCTGCAGGACACATTTGCCTGGGCCGACCGAGTAGGCGGAACCTTCAGCCCATCGAAAATCGTTGTTATCTTATTCGCTGAGGAAGGAGCTGTAGAGACCATCCGTGGTATCCAGCCGTCAACCACTCACCATCACCTGGGAGTGCTGTTGAGTGAAACACTTAGCTTCCAGGAGCACGTTGAACAGGCAATAAGCAAGTTTAGACAACGATGTGTTCTTCTGTGCCATATGGCTGACCGTTTAACAGGAGACATCGTCAGGAAGCTGTACCTTACGTATGTCCGCCCCATAGCAGAATACGCCGCCCCAGTATGGGAGTCCTCCCTCTCTGCCGCACAGCGGCTCACCCTTGAACGGCTGCAAGCCAGAGTAGCTCGCACAGTCATGCGGCTTGATAGATGCCCTTGCCGATCAGACGAGCCCAAGTCGTCATTGTTTAGACAGCTGGGGTGGCCAAGTCTATCCTGGCGCAGGAATATCGCCTGCCTTATGGAATTCTTCCATCTGGTCACCACCCAACCAGAACTTCTTGAAGCAGCAGGATACTGCCCCACGCGTAGTCGCCGCCGTAAACTCGCATTCACTCTGCCATGGGTTGGGAAACGCGCCAGGAGGTCACTTCTCTTCCCCACGGCTACTTTTTGGAATGCCTTGCCCGCAGACCTGAGAGTAGGCATCGGCGGATTATGCTGGCATAATTATTGGCATATTTTGGTGGTTGAAAATTTGGAGCATAATTTGGCATCCTTTCGGAGGTTGGAGCATAACTGCATGATTGTACCACAGTTCTAGTATATAGGCTACACAATTGTGTACAATTCACCTGATCATTGCTGGTGGTCTGCATGGTAAAGGGTTCGGAGGTCATGGAGATAGTGTTTTCAATGAAAAGCAGGGTAGAACTCATGGCAATACAATTATTGTATGCTCGAACTCGTCTTCCTCAAAGTTCGTTCTCACACTGATACAGTACATGTGGCAGAAGATGCATGTGAATCAGCCTTTATCAGGTATCCTAGGACCATTCTGGAACATTCAGCCTATAGTATTTTTCTAGCTAAGCTGTTCACTGTCTGCTATCTCAACTTTACAGCCTCCCATTATAATGGAACTCCCTTCAATTTAGACTACTGAAGTATGTCTTTGGGAAATCCTCAAATATAAAATAATTATACCGGTCATAAGGTATTGTCTACGCATGCATCTACGCAAGAATCACCACCAGCCAGTTAGGACATGTGTCAAAAGTGTTGAACGTTTTCGTTCCCTTCTTCTCAAAATACTACAGGGAATGATGGAAATAAGGTAAGAGACTTCAACTATAAGGAAAAGAAGTTCAGAGATACATCACTCCAATTACGTGTGATGTATCTCTGAACTTCTTTTTCTTATACCGTACTCGCGCGATTAGTGCCCCTGGCCCTGGGCCCTGGGGCACTATTTGTTCAATGTCCATCACAGATGGGGCAGTCACGATTCAAGAGAGGGCACTACTTTTTCATTGCTGGTACATTTGCGTCATTCAGCATGAACAAAGAAAAACAGAGCCTAAAGTGTACTGTAAACGCTCACGACTCCACAGAAACGGGAACAGGACCTGCGATTTTGTTCCTGAAAACACAAGTGCAAAGCAATGGCCAAGAACATTAGGATAAGAACACCAAACTTGCACATGGGCTTGGTTACAAGACGGACCTCGGTTTTTTATACTGGTATGAAATTGCAATAAATCCTTCGGCTCTATATTTTATACATAACACACACCGCTACAAGACCCACCCTCTCCATGCTCATGTTGCCGGATGAATGCAATTGTCTCCCATGTAAGTGTACACAAATGTTTTTACCAAGTATCTAAAATGTTAATGTTTTTACCAAGTATCTAAAATGTTAATGTTTTTACCAAGTATCTCAAATTTTAATGTTTTTACCAAGTATCTATAATGTTAATGTTTTTACCAAGTATCTAAAAATGTTAATGTTTGTACCAAGTATCTAAAATGTTAATGTTTTTACCAAGTATCTAAAATGTTAATGTTTTTACCAAGTATGTAAAATGTTAATGTTTTTACCAAGTATCTAAAATGTTAATGTTTTACCAAGTATCTAAAAATGTTAATGTTTTTACCAAGTATCTAAAATCTTAACAGAGCTGCTATACTTCATACTGTTCCACTAATTAATAATATTATGGCATCTTAATAGAAAAGAATAAGGACCAAGGAACTACTTTAAAATGTCCACTAACACCACCAGATGCTAAACAACCAGCTCATGTGATAACATTGCACGACACTGACCAACGGTACTGACATTCTACAACTAACTGACGAACAGCTCTAGCACATCTTGGATGCGCACTCCAACAGCCTTCCAATAATTTGGAAGGTTCTAATTTATTATGATAACATAAAAGGGGAAGCTGAGCGCAACCAAAACAAGCACGAGCTGAAAGTCTCAGCTGTGAAGGACGTTTAGTAACTGGTGGTGTTAGCGGACATTATAGCGTACCTTGTAGTTCCTTGGTCCTTTTTCTTTTTCATAAATTTATCCTGGGCTCTCCATCCAAGTCTATTATGTCCATGTTTTTTTAAGAACTCAGATGGCAAGCCAAGGAAAAAATTGGTTTTTTAAGAACTCAGATGGTAAGCCAAGGGAAAAATTGGTTTTTTAAGAATCCAGATGGTAAGCCAAGGAAAAGATTGGTAAGATGGAAATTGTGGGCACGAGTTATGCGTATGAGTCCACCAGCTAAACCAGATTTTGAACTGTCAGACGTGCAGAATCTAGCACACCTGACAAGGAGTACTGAGACTTTCCACGGCATGAAAGTCAGCTTGAGCACTGCTCGATAGCGCTAACCAACGGCCTTCCAACTTGGAAGGTTCATGGATATTAGTGCCAATTCCAAAGAGGGGAAGGCGAGCGCTATCGAGCTGAGCACAAGCTACATTCAAAGGCTTCATGGAATGCAGGCCTGGTAACTATGATGACGGGACGGCAAGACCAGACAGAACGGTTAAACCACAATTCGACAACACAAAGCAACAACCACCCAACTTGGGAGGCTCAATATTATCAGAGATGAAAATATGAAGGAGAAGCTTCGCTGGGGCGAATTGTAACAAACCGAACGCCAGTATCCTACAGTAATGTACTTAGTTGATGACAATGATGGACTAACTAATTGCAATTACATGTATAGTATCACATGACCATCGTTTCGCCATTTTGTTCATGACGGCTCTTCAGGTGTGCATTTTAAAGAACACAGAAGAACTCAGATGGTGAGCCAAGGAAAAATTGTAACATGGAAATTGTGGGCACAAGTTATGCGATCAAGTCCACCAACTAAACCAGATTTTGAACAGTCAGACGTGCACAATCTAGCACAACACTGACAAGGAGTACTGAGAGATTCCGCGGCATGAAAGTCAGCTTGAGCACTTCTCGATAGCGCTAACCAACGACCTTCCAACTTGGAAGGTCAGCCACACTGTGGCATCCAGCACAGAAGGTTCCGCGGCTCCTTTCTTAGTGATGAAGGTTGCACGTACGCGAGAGGTGGTGAAAGAGCACATTGTTCTGTGGAGCAGGACCATCGGCCAGCAGGATGCATGGTTCCGTCGGAAAATGGCGAGTATACCGCTATGCCGCCCTACTGTACAGATGGCGAAAACCCGAAATTTAATCAGACTATAATGCTACTCTTGTGGGAAATGCCGCGAGTATTATGCTAGCACTGTGCTTATTCCAAATCGCACACTTTAATGCTTGTTATAATGCTAGCATTATCCGCCCAGCCCTACATGCTGTAGTGTCAGTCAGTTGTTCTACTTGGTCAAAGTCGGCAAAAACAAGTGCCGGAAACCTATTAACATGTTCCCTTTTCGTGTTCCCTATTGTGATGTATTTCCCAACTGATGATCGTCACAAGGAAACGTTCTTGGAAACCTTGAGACCTTGAGACGTACCTACCTAGCTTCACTTAGAAATCGGAGGCTTTCCCACGTTTCCTTTCTAACAAATGCAGTGTACAGGGCCGCTACCTTACTACGATGGACTTACCGGACACGGCATTCACAGGCGCACCTGCACTAACGACAGTCCACTTTCGTCCCGATGCAGTCCACCGGCTTCTAGCTCGTTTGGATGCCTCAAAGGCGACTGGACCCGACGGTATTTCCGCTCGTGTCTTGAAGGAATGCGCCAGAGAACTTGCCAAGCCACTATGTCAGCTCTTTGCTCTTTGCTTCCAGCACAGAGTCCAGCCACAAATGTGGAAGACTGCCGGCGTGGTCCCAATCCACAAGCGATCTTCACGATCCGCCTTGAGGAATTATCGTCCAGTTTCACTGCTGAGCATAATCTCTAAGATCATGGAGAGCGTTATCAATCGTCAACTCACGAATCACCTTGAGCGAAGCTCCTGACACCCCACCAGTTCGGGTTTCGTCGCGGCCTCGGTACCTCAGATGGGCTACAGGCTCTGCACCATGCCTGGATCACAGCCGTCGGCCGAGGCGGTGCAGCACGTATTCTAGCCGTGGATAGCCGGAGAATTCGACCGTGTGTCCCATGCTGGCCTCCTCCACAAAGTCCGCCATCTTGGCATTGGCGGTCCCCTGCATATCTGGCTCTCTTCCTACCTAGGTGGACGGTCCATTCAATGCAAACCTCGTCGCCGTACACCATATCATCAGGAGTTCCCCAAGGAGCATACTAGTACTCGGCCCTACATTCTTCCTGATTTACGTGAACGACGCCTCAGAGGCTCTCTCACCCGGAGCCCACCTGGAGGCGTACGTCGACGATATTACCTTGTGTAGCCTGGTCTCCCTCGACACATCCCCAGGCCCAGCCGATGCAGCATTGAACCTCCAGACTTCTGTTGATCGCTTGCATCAGTGGGGCCGCAGATGGCGCATCTCCTTCGAACCGTCGAGTCCCAAGCCATGACCGCCACTCTCCGCAGAACCCCATCAATTTGCCTCGCATTGTCTTCGGCGGCACTCCTGTCCTTGCTTGAGGAGAAGGCTCTCTCTTTACTTGGAGTGACCTTTGACTCGAAGCTGTCATTCAGCACTCATCTCCAGAAGGGTGCCGCTCGAGCCAAACAACGCCTGGGTTTCCTGCGCCATGCAGCGCACATTCTCTCGCCAGCCGGCCGCACCACAATACAAGGCATTTGTTCGACAGGTTATGCATAATGGAGTATGCCCCCTCATCTGGATAGGTGCTCCGCCCAGCTACCTGCAACGCCTGGATCATATCCAACGCTGTGCTCTGCGAATCATCGGTCCAGGTGCACTATTACCTAGCATGGCCATCCGCCGTACTGTTGCCTCGCTTGCCTGCCTATACAAGCTGCATTACCTGCCTGGCCCTCCGCAGCTGCTCTCCGTTTTGCCACCGCGCTATTTCCCTTCATCCAGCCCCAGAACTCGCAGCGAGCATGGTAGTGTCATTGGCCATGACCACCAGCTCCAACACCAGCTGCTTGCATCTGTCCCGCAGGCGCATGATTGAAGCGCTCGTTCACACACTGCAGTATTAGTGACAGTCCCTCCCCGCCGCTCTTCTGTCCCAGCCTCCCCACAGCAAGGGAATGCAAGCATTCAAAACGAACGTTTATCGCCATCTGCGAAGCACAACCTGGCTCTGGGCAGTCGACTCACTAGGATGCTGCTCTCGCCTATCCCTATCTATGCACCACAACTGGCTCGGACAATCGACTCGCCATGATCAGCCATGATGATGCTCCTCTCAGTCACAACCCTTGTTGTTAATAGTCTCACAGTTTCTCCCGCACACTCGCTGGTGTTAACCCTTCCCGGGCTTCTTTTCACTTTGCTGACAGCTCTATCTTTTGTTTTTTTGGTGCGTGTTTTTGGCCGTGATGCCGAGACCTCAGGTCAGAGCCATCAATGCCCCACCGGTTGCACCATCACTGCTGCGTCTCGGTGCAACCCGTCGTCACAGTACCATTGTCCTTCTTTATTATAAATTTTTCGAGCTGGGAATGTGAACATAGTAAAAAATAAAAAATAAATAAAAAACGTTACGCAAAATATCGTTACGGGTAGTATTAGTTTTTTTCAACGGTCCAACAGCCTCTTTAACGGGCAAGATTAAAATTAAAAGCAACACAATGATGAGAAAACAAGAGGGGTAAACACAATAACTTTATCAAAGCTGTTGACTCACGCATACACACATACACACACACACACACACACACACACACACAAGATAACAATGATACTCAGTACTTAGACTGCAGGAGTTGCAAAGAAAGTTAAATCAATGCAGCCTCCGCGTTTGCGAGGACAGCAGACTGATCATTGACGCGGCGCATCCGCTGGGCACCGCGAAGGCAGGCAACACTGGCACGCAGGAGACCAAAACCAAGACGACAACGCAGCAACGCCATCACCATTGCGTATGGCTCTCCGGATTTCTCTGCAGACAGAGCAGCAATTCGCTTGAGAAGAGCGGAAGCAGCTCGACCGGCTCCACCTGTGGCTGAGAATACAAAAGGTACGAAGGAGGCTCGCTCAACTTCTTGCACCCTCTGACCATACCTGCGACGCTTCTCGCGCTCATGGCTCTGGTAGCGAGCAGCGAGAGAAGAGGAACGGTTTGAAGGAGCGAATGGGTTAAACACTCGTACATCAAGATAAACGCGTTCAAACCGTCCTCCCCACACGCCACTCGCCGCCACATCCAGACGGGCCTGATCCTCGGTGGACGCCGTCCGGTATCGGAAAAGCTCGCCGGTGAGGGGTTGGAGATGAGGCTCTACTTCTACGCTGTGTGCCACCTTCTTCAGTTGGCCAGCGATGATGTCCCGTACTTCATTGTGGCGAAGCGTCGGGAAACCACCAGTGGGGCAAGAGAGAGCATGCTCAACAGAGAAGGTGGCACCACAGACACAAGTAGAAGGGAGCCGTGCCGGGTGCCAGCCATACCGCAATGCCAGACCATCGCGAAATTCACACTTCGACAAGCTGAACCCATGCCGACTGAGGGGGCGACACGTGAGCCAGCTGGACGCACCCGCCTCACTGCCAAGGTTGATGGAGTGCTGGAGGGCAGAGGAGGCTCGGGCGGTGAATTGGCGAAGGGCTTCCGTGGCAGCTGCCTTCACATCCTTGTGGTTAGAGGCCTTCAGGCTGGCGACCTCTGCCAAAGAGTCTCCCACTGTCCCAGGTTGAAACTCTGGGTGAGGATGTTGGCAACCATAGGAGCAGTGATGGCACGCGAGGATTGGTACTGGGCCGACAGAGAGGTGGGATCCAATATTCCTAGACCACCGTTCCGGCAAGGGAAGGAGAAAAGGGTGCGGAGCTCAGAGCTTATTTCCTGGCCTGTGAGAGCTGGGAGGAGCTTCGTGGCAATGACCCGCTCCAGTGAAGCAAGGCCAGCAGACACACTTTCAAGTACCCGGCAGAGGAAAGACCAGCGGCTGGAGAGGCCTCGGGTGAAAGCAGAATAGGCTGCTTGTGGCTGAGGCAGGGCGGTTGATGTCAGTGATTCGACCTGCCCACACCAGTCCCGGGCTTTCTCTGGTACATAGTACTAGTAGTGGTACGGTGTATCTCGTACGGGCGCAGCTTCCCGTACGGGACGAGATACGGACACTCGGGCCACCGAGTCGGCACAGCCATTAAAAGGAGAACCAAGAGACCTTTGTTGAAGTGTTGGACTGATCTTGTTGGTTGTTGTTAATTTACTTCTCCTTGCGCAGCAGTGACCAGACTCCAGAGCTAGAGAAGACGACCAGTGCATTGCACATGTGAGTTACATGACATTGTACATTTTAGTATCTCTGCACGAGAGTACTCACTGTACACTCAACAGCCAGACACGGACAGTACAGTGTAGTGCGGTGACTACCGACGCGTAGATCAAGCCTGCACGTGTCGTTGATCATAGTGTAAAAAACGAAGAAAAAAAGGTCGTCAAAAGCTAGCGGGGTTCGAACCCACGACCTTTTTTCAAAAATCAAAAAGATGCCGCCTTGCGCTTTGCATCCATTTTGAACAAAAGAGTGCATACATGCTATGATTGTAGGTACAGTGTAGCAGTAGGATGTTTGTAGATTGTGTGAATTATTTGAGTCGTGTTTGGTAGGACTATCAGTACCCAGCATGTCATGGCTGTGATGCAGTGAATGTGATGGCCGTGGTCCCTGCCATAGCCCTCCGGTGATGAATGAGACGAGATGACATCCATTGAGATATGACACGAATACAACGAAGTCAGAGAAAACTAGGAGTAGTATTTATGGATTCAAAACTTCAGCAATTGTTCCATGGTTTAGTTGATCAGGTCAGGCTGGTTTGCTCGAGTGTATAAACGTCATATTTTTAGCCAGTTTTTCCAGCAAGCAATGTTGCATGCGCATGCGAACTTTCTCATTGGTTTCTCCTCATTGTAAAATTTTAAAAAAAGAAAAAAAGTCTAGATTAGTGTTGTTGTTGTTGACTTTTATTTTACTTCACCAATTGCACAGGCATGCTGGCCTTCTTACCGGCATAGGTCCGGTTCTCACAGAAAGATGAAGGAAATTATATGATAGCTATAAAGAGAACAAATTCTGCTGTCATCGCCACACTACAACAAAGTCATGAAGGTTTACCAATGACAGCAGAATTTGTTCTCTTTATAGCTATTATAAAATTGTTGTCTCCGCGTCCATTATTGAAATTATATGAGGAAATGTATAGAGATAAATACATGCAAGTGGTATGATTATTATTATTATAGAAATGTTTGTAGTGGATAGTGTACATGTACGGATTCATAGATTCGTGCAATTATTCAAAGCCAACGGTCACACTGGAAACGCATTATCAGATCTTAGGATGTGAGCAGTGGACTGATGTCACCCCACATGTCATGCGTCTCCTGCAACGTCCGTCGTATTTTTTTAAATGGCTATAGTATCCACCCATTGTATTGCTCACTCTCACGTACATACGTATATCGCTGCTTCTGTGATAGCATAATCCGATCTTGAGTGTTCAACCACTACCAGTTGTCTGATGATTGCCTAAGGGCATGCAACTACTTGTAGTAGCTACAACGAAGTGCCCTGTGTGTGTGTGTGTGTGTGTGTGTGTGTGTGCGCGCGTGCGTGTGTGTATGTGTGTGTGTGTGTGTTTCTGTAGTAGTGAGTACGTGTAATACCTTTATTCAGAAAGTGACCCAAAGGCAATATACCTATCGTATGGTAGTAACCCTGCGTGCCTTGCATAGCCACTGGCCCTCTGCGACTGAACTTCTACAGGATTTCGTGAGTGTACTTCTGTTTCTCTGCCCTTTCTCCCAGGCTCGAACCAGTGACTGCAACGCTCAGAATGGAGGACTCGGAGCCACCGAAAAAAAGGAGCGCATCGGATACGCAGGCAAGTGAAGAAGACGCCGAGCAACAACAACGACAGCAGCAGAAGCTGAAACAAATACCGATGTGGTCGTGCTTTGGATGCCAAACCAAAAACGAGGAGAGCCTCGGGTCGGTGTGTAAGAAATGTGCACAGTCCCGGCATGCTCCACCTGTGGCAACGGTAGCGTCTCGGCCCACGAACGAAGGAATACTTTCCCTGCCCTCGATGGACAGTATGGTCAATGCCTTCCAGTTGAATGTGGCCGCTTACGCCGAGGACAGCAGCAGCGTGGAAGCCAGCGGCATGGCAGAGTGGGCGTGCGTGTCGTGCCAGTTTGTGAACGACGGCGCCACCGCGCAGTGCGCCCTGTGCTACGCCTCGCGGCAATGTCTTGACGTGCGTGGTACTAGCGCTGCTCCCACTGTGCCTGATGCTGGCGTGCATTCACCTGGTGACACTGAAGACATGGACATGTCTTAAATGCTGTAAAATCGACATCGATGGAAGTAAAGTGAGCGTAGTCATACCACGACTCCACCAATTGGAACAATATGCAACGTATAAGGTTTTTGTCTCCATGCTGCCTTTTTTGAAAAAGAAATAAAAAATTATTTTCTAAAATCGTACATTGGTGTTCTCCGGGCTCCTAACACGCTGAAACTGGCGATCTTTTTTTTTCATTCGTTTCGTCCAGCTGAGAGCTTGTTTGTGGGACGGACGGACAATGCAAGCGTTAGCAAGTGCAAAGAAAACACTGCACTGGAATTGTTGTTGTTGTTGTTGTTGTTGTTGTTTCAAATCTTTGTTCTCACGGTGGCCATTGTTGTTGTCGTCGTCGTCGTTTGATTTGATTTTAATTCGCAGTGACCAAACGAGTACAGTCATGTTGATTTGTAGAGTTCTTAGAAGAAATATACCGTCAGCACTTGTTTCTTTGTGCATCATGGACCGGTTTGCGTCACGTGACTGATCACGTGAGTGCCAAGAATTTTTTTCCCCAAGAATAAGCTCCAACTCCCAGCTTGGAGCGTACCGGTATGTACTAACAACAAGGATCGATAACTTCGATGATAAGTGCCGCCCTGCGCAATGTGTTCAAGCATGCGGCATGCTTGGTATGCACCAGGGAGTCATACCCAGACCAGCGGTTTGGGTATGACACCCTGGTGTGCATGACCAGGGAGTCGTAAAATACCGGTATTTTACGACTCCCTGTGCATGACTGTGTAGTTTCGATACTTTTCAACTCTTGGCCGCTCGCGCGACCAGTCACGTGCTTCATGCTTCCACTCGCCGTGCAAAGGTGCCCCCAACAGCCTATGTTCGGCAATGGCGTCCCTCGCCCGCTTGCTAGCCGCAAGAACCTTGCCACCACCAGACTCTATTGCCCATTCACAGCCTGTCGTCGTGTCGACTGATCGCCCTTGACAAGAACCCGGGCCACGTCCGACCTACCGGTGTGTGTGAGGTCCTCCGTCGCATTCCAGCCGAATCCATCCTACGAGTACCATCAGAAGATGTGATGGAAGCCTGTGGGTTACTGCGGAAATGTGTTGGATTGCCAGCTGGCGCTAGCATGCTGGGAAAGAGGCAGCGGTCCACGCCATGAAGCGCTTATGTGAGGACACCACAACTGAAGCAGTCTTACTGTCTTACTACCCTTATTCATGGCTCACACATGATGGGTTTGCGTGGCTCTAGTAAAAAAATATTTAAAAAAACTAGCTGACGCGAAGAATGCCTCCAGTTGCCTGAACCGCTGGCAAGCTGCCCTTACTCCTTAGCCTAGGCTACCACACTGCTACCAAGATGATGCCCGCCTCTTCATTCCTGGTGGTAGCGAGCCTTCCTCTGCCGAAGGTACAACACAAGCTAGGCGACCATCTGTCGATGGTTTTCAATTCGTACGGCGCCGCCGCGCTCTCCACACCAACATCCGTGAATTGTGATAGTATCATGCTGACGACTCAAGTGATGCTGGCAAGCTACGTGCCTTTCGACTCTGGTGCCGGGATGATGTGGACGAGACCGGGAAACCCTACGGTTACCATATCAATGCCCCGAACACTCTCCTCCTCGTCAAGCCGGACCTGCTTAAAGGGGAAGTATACCCTAAAATCAAATTTTCACCAGTTGTAGTCTTCGGGGTGCTGAGTCGAATGGTCGTGGTCCGAGGAAGCTGAGACGCTCCCTTCCTACTTGAATCCCAATCGAACTCGCGCACTTCCACCGAAACTGGGTGACTGCGCCCTACTAGATGGGGATTTGTATGCAAAATGTCACTAAAAGCGCCATTTCGTTCTTATAAAAGCACGGATGACCGCGATTGGCCCATATGTTGTAGTCTTTTGGACGCTGAGTCAACTGGTTTTGGTCCGAAAAGGTTGCGATGCAGCGTTCCTCCTTTATTCCCAATCGAACATGGTTGAAGAAGCGGTCACGTGCTCCTGCGTACACCAGTCACCTGGTCACCGTGCCTGCAGGGTACAACTTACTAGCCTGTTTGACCTTTTTTGGGTGCAGTCCTGATCGAGTTGAACTCGAGTTGAACCTTGGTGTGAAAGTTGTCACCTGCTGGCGCGGTGACCAGGTGATTTGGGCACCCAGGAGCACGTGACCGCTTGTTCAACCATGTTCGATTGGGAATAAAGGAGGAACGCTGCATCGCAGCCTTTTCGGACCAAAACCAGTCGACTCAGCGTCCAAAAGACTACAACATATGGGCCAATCGCGGTCATCCGTGCTTTTATAAGAACGAAATGGCGCTTTTAGTGACATTTTGCATACAAATCCCCATCTAGTAGGGCGCAGTCACCCAGTTTCGGTGGAAGTGCGCGAGTTCGATTGGGATTCAAGTAGGAAGGGAGCGTCGCAGCTTCCTCGGACCAAGACCATTCGACTCAGCACCCAGAAGACTACAACTGGTGAAAATATTTGATTTTAGGGTATACTTCCCCTTTAACCTGGCTGCCAGTGGCTGGCCATGGTGTGTTTTCATCCCAATCGTACTCGCGCACTTCCACCGAAACTGGGTGACTGCGCCCTACTAGATGGGGATTTGTATGCAAAATGTCACTAAAAGCGCCATTTCGTTCTTATAAGGGGCCGTCCGTAAATATCGATGTTTTTTTAGAGACGATATTGGTGCTTCTCTCCCTTGACCCCCCCCCCCCTCCCCCCAGAAGACGCACATGTACATCTAGATCATGGAATCAATATTTTTGGATGCTCATTTTTTCAAATCCTTGTTCAGACAGTGAAGACTGGAAACTCTTGTGGAGTTCGTCCGTGTTTGTTCACACTGCCTCTACGTCTTGAAAAAGGTCTCCTGCAGGCATCGTTCGGCCGATTTCCACAATCAATAGCTCATTCTTTTGCTCTTGAAATTCGCCATGGGCGTACAGCTTCCAATTTTTGATTTTGTTCTTGTGTCGCGAGTTTTAGCTCCGCGAACGGAAGCTGGTTTCACATTTCTTGTATAGCCATTTAGACGTCCGCGTGCAGGGATCGGCGAAACTTCAGATATTACGGAGCATCAGCAAATCGAATTTTCGATTTGATTATTCGAATGGCAAAAAGAAAATCAGAGAGAAAATTCGAATGAAAAAGAGGTTCAGCATGTAGCGCAGTCCAGTATTTTTAGCTACATGCGCAAGAATGAGTACTCGTAGTGCACCAGAGCACGCGCGGAGCATTCGAAAAGTATTTTCTGTTTGCGGGCATTTTTCAGTCGAACAAAGCCCTAGTTTCGACTGATTGAGTGCTTTTCGTGACGATTCTCGAATTTCACTCGAATATTCGATTTGCTGATGCTCCGTATTTACATCGATATTTTTCTGATGCTCGAAAAGACGCACATGGCTCAACCCCCCCCCCCCCCCCCCCCCCCAGACGCACCAATATCGTCTCTAAAAAAACATCGATATTTACGGACGGCCCCTAAAAGCACGGATGACCGCGATTGGCCCATATGTTGTAGTCTTTTGGACGCTGAGTCGACTGGTTTTGGTCCGAAAAGGCTGCGATGCAGCGTTCCTCCTTTATTCCCAACCGAACATGGTTGAACAAGTGGTCACGTGCTCCTGGGTCCCCAAATCACCTGGTCACCTCGCCAGCTGGTGACAACTTTCACACCAAGGTTCAACTCGAGTAACAGGACTGCACCCAAAAATGGTCAAACAGGCTAGTAAAGTAATAGTTGTACCCTGCAGGCACGGTGACCAGGTGACTGGCGTACGCAGGAGCACGTGACCGCTTGTTCAACCATGTTCGATTGGGAATAAAGGAGGAACGCTGCATCGCAGCCTTTTCGGACCAAAACCAGTGGACTCAGCGTCCAAAAGACTACAACATATGGGCCAATCGCGGTCATCCGTGCTTTTATAAGAACGAAATGGCGCTTTTAGTGACATTTTGCATACAAATCCCCATCTAGTAGGGCGCAGTCACCCAGTTTCGGTGGAAGTGCGCGAGTTCGATTGGGATTCAAGTAGGAAGGGAGCGTCTCAGCTTCCTCGGACCACGACCATTCGACTCAGCACCCCGAAGACTACAACTGGTGAAATTTTAATTTTTGCCTTTCCCTTTAACAATTTACTGGCATTTAGGTGGTCACGGGTGGAGCATGCTACCTAGCTGGGTGCGGTCGTAGAGACATGACTTTATTTATTTTACATCAAACACAACCCTCGATCTGAGTTATGAAGCTGGCAGTTGGAAAAGTCCAAGACTGGCAGCATGACCTACGACTGTTGAAGATACCGGGCCACTACCGGTACTGAACCCTGTAACGCATGCCGCCCTTACACATGGGCTGCGTGGTCGGTGGACATAATTATCTCCTTCGCGCGTTGGAGTTCTCAACCGAACAGCGTCTGGATGAAACTGTCAGCGAGCCGACTTCCTTCTGCCTCTGGCATTGTGACAGGGAAACACGCGTTCACTGCTAGTGATGACCTCTCTCTCTCTCTCCCTCCCTCTCTCCCTCTCCCTCTCCCTCTCCCTCTCCCTCTCCCTCTCCCTCTCCCTCTCCCTCTCCCTCTCCCTCTCTCTCTCTCTCTCTCTCTCTCTCTCTCTCTCTCTCTCTCTCTCTCTCTCTCGACCCTAGGCTACTGTAAAACCGGAAAGTCTAACGACCAAAAAGTTTAACGTTTTTTGTAATTTTGGCATGATAACGTGCAGAAAGTTTAACGATGGCTGCCTGGTCACCCAGAACATGCATCGATGTGTGCGCATCTTTACACACTGGGTCCGGGATAACGTTTCTTCAAATAGCGAATAAAGATTGGTGGCTAAAACGTTAGACGTGACTCGTTAGACTTTCCGGTTTTACAGTAGTTGAGCGCGAAACCCAGCCCTGAAATCAGAGAGATGTGAACGGCTGCTGGTTGAAAGCTCATCATTGAAACCAGGGATCTGTGGCACTGGAAACCCCCAAGGGGGTCCGCCACTCCTAGAGAGAGAGCGCTGAGTTTCACGATCGGCGTTCAGTCGGGATGCCGAGCAGCGTCCCAGGTGAACAGAAATTACAGCACTGAACGAATTAAATAATTATGGCTGCGCAAAAGCACCACCTGACAAAAGTTGTGTAACACCACAATCCTCCAGTTGTGCACTGTAGTAAAGCTAAAAATAGACTGGCTAAAAAGGTGACAATCATAAAAGTACTTTGAAAACATTGTACATAGCAGTGCGTCCTGCGTCACAGCCCTGAGCCCTGAGCCCTGAGCCCTGCATATTGAAGAGCCTAACTAATAATAGTGTAAATGGTACCCCGCGGGAGTAAGTCGTAGTTGCATTCTCAAAAAATTCCGCTAGACAAACGAACACGGAAATAACAACCGCCAGAAATTGTTGCTCAAAGTCAAAAAGAAAAAAAAGGAAATCGGAAATAGAACATCTGCCATCATGGCCTAAGGTAATCTCATCACTTTGGGAAAGTTCGAGTAGATTCCGCCCTGCTCATGTTTGCAACGTGCCTTAAGACACGAGTAACAATTTCTCTCCAAATAACTACCCGATGGCCCCGCAAAGATGGCATCAAGTTAGTTAGTTGCCATCAAGTTAGTTAGGTGTGTTGCAGGGCTATGCCGTAGGTGAGAGCGCTGCTTGGGAGACGGCTAGCTCAGCGGGTTGTAGCAACAGCAGTGTGTGGTGTCGACGTCGACATTCCGCCACAGCGGCTAGCCCTAGCCTGCGCCATCGCCATCCGACTTCTGCGGCGAGCTGAGCTTTGCCACGGATGCTTCGATGTCGCTCACCTACAAAGCGTGAGGAGAGAAAGAGAGAGACAGAGAGACAGACAGATGGACAGACATACACACAGAAAGAGAGAGAGGGGGGGGGGTAGATAGAGCTTTGGTACTGTACTGCTCGCTAAAACTGCTGAGCTCATTACATGATGCTTGTTTGTCCGGAAACACCCGTTGACATAGGCACTCCAGCCTTTGGGTTATCCGTAATTATCAATAAATAAATAAATAAATAAAACAGCCTGGCCTGGGAACATACGATGTGAACACTACACAGAGTAGAGAGGTTCTGCTAGACGTGAAACGTAGAGAAATCACGCAGAGAGCAGGAGTCTGGGTTAAAGTCTACGGCTTCGCGTGTTTCGGTTCCAGATTTCTGCGCGTAGATGAGATTGTCTACGTGGTGCCACACACAAAGAAAATGCGTACAAATCTGCTGGGTATCATTCAAATGCAGACAGAAAACTGCCAACCATGGAAGGGGAAATTCTCAATGCACACTCCACGTGATTTCTCTACTACTGTGATGTGAACGAAGAGCAGAGCCACATTAGTGATAATTATTATTGTAAAAGCAGAAATTTTCGGTAACTTCGGTGCCGACAATTTTTACCTAAAAATAAAACGCACCGAAAATGTCGGTACTAGTAGTAGTGCACTTACCTGGAAAACGGGATAACCGAAAATTTCCCTCCACCGAACCGCCGATTTTGGAGAATACCGAAAATATTACACCACCGAAAATGTCTGCTTTTATAGTACTGTATAAGCAGAAATATTCGTCTGGAATTTAATTTCGTCTTTTTCGTCCAAGGAGCTTTTGGACTAAATTAAATGTAGGACGAATATCGATTTGTCCAGCGTTTCTATACACTCTTATGATCCATGGACGAAATTTTCAACCGGACGAACTCCTTTTCTTTGGAGTTGGACGAAATTATTGACCGACGAAACTTTCTGCCTCTACAGTATGAATTTTCGCCGTTGACAGACCCCATAAACAATCAGGGTATCCACAGAGTTGCACACACCCTTGGGAGCTTTACCCTTGATACAACACTACATGGCTTCCAGTTCCCAAGCTCACGGCGTTCTCTGCATGGCTCTCGTTTCTTGGCAACAGTCACGGCTGCCCCCGGGCCTGTTCCTACCTTACGCAGATGTTCCTGTCTGGAGCTCTCAGCCTTCTCCAAGTTACGCGACAGCTTGAAGATCTGTGCACAGCAAGAACACGAGCGCAGTGGTCGTCCCATACAGAATGTGCCAAACCAACACGAATAGCCCGTAATACTCCTTGATAGAGATACGTAAGTAAAATGGGCACCCTGTAACTTAGTGTAAGAAGACCTTAGGGTCTGTTGGGAATGCCCAAGTAAAATAAAAAATAAAATACAAGTAATATACGGATGTACGCATACATATGCATGGAAGCAATTCAGCCGACCTGGGGTATCTAGTGGAAGAGCTTGCAGGATGGTGATTGTCAGGAGCCTGAAGTTTGTTCTTAAACGTTTTACTGTTATAAAACCCCAGCCAAAATTGACACAGCCACTGGCGATCGCCCCTGTCCCGGCATCCCTATAGTTACATAGGAGGGCCGTGACATGGGAATAATGCCTTGACTATTGTTACGTCTTGCAGTTACATTACCACGCGACAGTGTACAGGCACACACAGCACTCAGACACTGGGTGATTCCGATAGTCAAACGGCTTCCAAACATCTTCATCAAGGGTGAAACAACAACAACCTCACACCTCTGTGCCCATACACTAAACGTGTTAATGTATGCACAGCAAGTACTAATATTATTACGTCAAGACACTACTTGAAGTACAACCATCCAGTCTTGGGCTCAACATGACCGGTAATTAATTCCAGCCCAAGACCATTCAGATCATCACAGTCACGCACCTGTCGATCTTTCTCGATCAAGTCTGAGCGGCACTGCTTCAAGTCATCCCGTGTGACGGTCAGCGACTTGCGCAGCATCTCTCGCTGTGCACGGACAAGAACCGGAATCACGCACAGCCAGAAACAGTTGTCAATATAATTTTAAAGATGCTCTGGACTCGAGATAAGATACGTTTGTTTCTCTGCGCACTGAATATCCAAAGTACTGCCTACTGTACGTTTGCAACCATGGTACCTGGATTGGGGACAGTGAACAAACTCCTCCGATCATCTGAGAGTCACAAGAACTACCTAAGCGTGCTTACGACTTGTGCACAAAGGGCTCTGAATTCACAATGCATAGCTACCGCATCGGCATGGCAACAAGAGAAGCCATTGTCCCGTTGGTAAGACGATGGCATCCTGGGGCACATCAGTGCACGACGGGGATTTCTTACCTCTTTTTCAAAGGTGTCCTGCTGCTCCTGGAGTCTCTGATGCTCGTACTGTTGCACACTGCTGCGCAGCGCATGGGAAGCAGATAACTGCAGATGGGAAAGAAAGATTGGGAGAAAAAAACATCGAGTGGTTATATCAAAGAGCAACTGTTTCCCGACAGACCAAGCGCTCTGTGGAGAAGGCTAGCGTCATTGGTTCAAACTGATTTGAAGAAATGCCGCAGACTTCGCTGTTTAAAATGCAGAACTTCTGATATTTCGTGTGGAAATCACGGTGAACAGACCCAGGGTCATTGGGCAGCAAGGATAACACTGTTCTTCAAGTTTTCTAGTAAGTGCACCTCTAACACCCCCGTCCCTGTGCTCAGACTATGGGCTGCTACCATAACCTTCCTTAAAGGCACACCGACAGGACGTCTGCAGCATAGCAGGCCTGCATGGACCGGACTTCATTCCCATTCACAGCATGTTGCACACTCGGGGAGGATTATGTACTGTAATTTCACACATTTTCGGTGTACCTTTATTTTCGGTTCCTTCCGTGCATCTCTTTCTTACCTAAAATTAATGTTCAATTGTCGCACAAACACTGACACACATCGTCCATTAGGAAACAGCTTCCTTGCCCTAAATCAGTTTCTGCTCGCCTAACCTGTTTTTTTTTTACCTCATATCTAAAAATGTTATCACCTAAATTTTCTGAAATCCGAGAATTCATGATGTACTGGCCATGAACAAAGCAGGGCAGAGCTGAGAAGGGTGTCCATGACATGAGACAACTGCTGTAGCTGTTAACGCCATTCAGTACCTTGCCCCCAAATAACCACCGTGACTGCATGATACATACAATAGTAGCACGATGCTCTCACCAATCCTGCCATAGCGGCTACCTTGCTCATACGGCTCCCTTCCTTACTTAAGTACATCTATTACTGTGAGCAAGAATACATAACCCCAAGAGCATGCAAGCACTGATCTCCGAGCTGTGGGTGCCCTGCGCGGCGCGCTGCCTGCATTACATAGTGAAATGATGCTCCAGCTGCCTGGATTTTGAGTTTTCCTACGGTTTAGCCCCATGGATGCAGTGAATGGGATTTTTCGGTCTTTGACCGCTTGCTGGTGAGCTGATCTACTCACCTCCCACCGCTTTAGGAGCTGCATCTGCGCCTTGATTCTTGAAGGGTGGTGGCGTTCCTACGGATGCGGAAAACCCGGCTTCCAGCCGAGTCTCACGCGAATCGTGAAATTTTTAGCCCCAGCGATTTCACGTGCAATACCGGTAAGTTCAAAGGCAATGCCTGTGCGCGACGCATCACGTACAAAACCATCCGAAGACGGAAGTCTTCGAGGAAAGCGGATTTGGAAGCAGGAAACCGTGGCAGATCAACAATGACGCAATGGCCCATAGTCAGTGGCTACGTAGTGCAGGCAGCGCACCGCACCAGACTCCATATGCAGAGTTGCATACTCTTGGGGTTTTGTACTCTTGCTGTTAGGGATGCAACAGACATTTTGGCTATTCAAATTTATTCAATCCACCAGTGCTTCAAGATAATTCAAAGAGGAAATGTCAAATACGAAGTCTCGAAGTAGGGATGTCAGCGAACGCACTGCGCAGGCCTCTGTGCATGCATTGCGTCATCGATTTTTTGAACGTGATCGCGGCCGACAGAGAAAACATGGCCGCGGTCTGTTTGCACCGCTGGGAGTCGTAAAATTACTGTTCTTCTGTCCCCGCGACCATTCAAATCATACGCGAGACAGGAGGACCCACGAGCTCACCACGTTCTCCCTGGTCGATTTCTCTGAAAGTTTGCACATCGTGAAACACCAGTATGAGAGGTGTTCAGGCCAATTTTCAAGGGATTACCCTGGTTGGATCGTTCCAAAATCGGACTTGCATTTCTCGCTCGCGGCCATTTCTTGCGCGATGGAAGCGCCCTGCCCTGGTGAGTAACCAGCGTTGCGCTTGGTAGAGAGTTGCTGCAATCAGCTCCCCGATGTCTTCGCTGCGATTGTCAGAAGCGATGGACCATTTTGGCTATTCAAATTTATTCAATCCACCAGTGCTTCAAGATAATTCAAAAGAGGAAATGTCAAATACGAAGTCTCGAACTAGTCGAAGTAACGCTAGTCTAGACCTGGTGGATGGTTGTGCTCAGACATAATATTATGATGGTGGAACAAGTAAGTTACAATGAGGGCAGTCCCAAGTACTATAACCCGTGTCATCAGTATTGCAATGGCAAGAAGAGCTATGGCACCTTGGAGAAAAAGGATGGCTTCACGAGACACAAATTGAACTTTATAAGTTTACAAAGTGCATCCGTGGGCACGTGGGGAATTTTAGATTTTCCGTTCGTTCATTGAGTTGAATGATCGTTTGTGGAAATAATATGTAGCAGCTCAATACATCGCTTGTCCTAATGTCACAGTGGTCGGGTTTTTGAAGTTACATGCACACATCAGTACAAAGCTGTATTGCTGTTCATTATTATAAAAACGAACGGCAAGACAGCTTTGTAGAGCAATGCTAGTCGTAATTTCACAGTGTTCAGGTTTGTGAAGTTACATGCACACATCAGCACAAAGCTGTATTGCTTGGTGAGCATGACATTGGGCGGTTCATACCTCGCTCTCCAAGTCGCTACACTTGCTTTCCAGATGGGCAACGGTGACATCGCGGAGGAAGCTGGCGGCGGGTGAGAATGGCAGTGACTGTCTCAGACTGTGATGACTCTACACACACACAGGTACATGCACATGCACAGGCATGTAAGCCCACGTGTACACACAAACACACACACGTGTACACACAAACACACACACGTGTACACACAAACACACACACGTGTACACACAAACACACACACGTGTACACACAAACACACACACGTGTACACACAAACACACACACGTGTACACACAAACACACACACGTGTACACACAAACACACACACGTGTACACACAAACACACACACGTGTACACACAAACACACACACGTGTACACACAAACACACACACGTGTACACACAAACACACACACGTGTACACACAAACACACACACGTGTACACACAAACACACACACGTGTACACACAAACACACACACGTGTACACACAAACACACACACGTGTACACACAAACACACACACGTGTACACACAAACACACACACGTGTACACACAAACACACACACGTGTACACACAAACACACACACGTGTACACACAAACACACACACGTGTACACACAAACACACACACGTGTACACACAAACACACACACGTGTACACACAAACACACACATGCGCACACACAAACACCCACACACACACACACACACACACAAGCATGCACGTTTCGTGAGGATGGCATGACAAGGACAAGTGGCAGTGGAATAGACAGCTATGGTCAAAGAGCACATCCACTCAGCAACCACACAACACACACCACACAAGATCATTTGCATTGCAGAATCATGACTAGCAGATGAACGTCAGCAACACACACACACACACACACACACACACACACACACACACACACACACACACACACACACACACACACACACACACACACACACACACACACACACACACACACACACACACACACACACACACACACACACACACACACACACACACACACACACACACACACACACACACACACACACACACACACACACACACACACACACACACACACACACACACACACACACACACACACACACACACACACACACACACACACACACACACACACACACACACACACACACACACACACACACACACACACACACACACACAGACACAGACACACACACACACACACACACACACACACACACAGATCAAGACTGAAAACCAAACATACGAGCTTCTCAGTCTACAAGAATGAACGACGCGCATAAACGTACAGCCAGGCGCTCAGTGCACGACAGTGGTGGAGTCACGCCAAATAAAACCAACAAACAAACATGTCCAACTCCAGAAGCAAATGTGAATTGCGCACGCAGCGGAGGGTCAAGGGATGAAGGGAGAATTAAGTCCCGGTAAACATAAGTACATCGTACTACTGCGAGAAAGCGTGAGGTGGGATATGGGAGACAACATCAACAAAAACTAGAACGACACGAAACTTAAGTCTCACACGGCGGTGAATTTACAGAAATAATTGCCGCAAGACCAGAAATACGAGAAAATGACTAACGCCGGACCAGGAAAAGCGGGACGAGCGTCGTCTACTATAATGGCAAGCCAGACAAAACACGTATGCTGGGCAACAGTGCACCGACCGAAGACACAAACAAACGAACCCAGAAATAAAGAAGCTATAATAGCATGAGGAGCCGCACAGGTCCAGCTCCATACCGCGCAGCACACGTTTCATTTCAAACAATAAGTTAAGTTATTATTGCAGTTATAAAGGTCCAGATCCGATCAGACAGATTCTGGTACAGAGTTTAGTCCGTTGGTACGTCGGTGGTACATATAGGCCAATGCTTCTTGCGTATGCGTACTCGTAGCAATTCTAAGTGAAATCTTCCAAAACAATTTTAAAAGAGGTCTACCAAGCGAACAGCTACAAAGCGATGGCCATGGAAAGAAACAGTGTTACCTCGATAGAGAGCAAAGTAAGTATACAGAATCTACACACATATCGGATGGCAAGCGATAGACAGCAGTACTGCAGATGGCGTTCTGGCTGGTAATAGCGCACCGCATACATGAATGGCCAGAGGTGAGCAGAGCAGAGCTGCACAGATGCTGGCCAAACAAACGACACCGATGATTCCTACAGCCTGACTTCAATGCGTTTCTCTAGCAGTGCAGCACCTCCAATAGCGCACGGTGGGTAGGTACAGCTGCCGATAGGATCGGTGCAATCTCTTGCATGACTGGACAGCTGCTTGGCAACCGTGTAGGCACACTCAGACCATACAGACAGCTCGATGTCCCACAAGCTACAGTAGAATGCGCACGCATCCACGCGTACTCAGATTGTAGTGACGATGTGGCGATGCCTGCTGCTGCTGCTACTGCTGCTTCTCCACAGTAGAGTGTAAGCACAACATGCAACAGATGCACGAAACAACAACACTGATTGCCATGCACATGACGTATACGTTTGGTGTGCGTGCGTGCGTGCATGCATGTATCAACTAGCAATCCACCTCGTCTGCGTCGTCAGAGTCCCCGCTGGCTTCGTCGCGCTGCAGAGACACCTTGTCCAGTTGACCGCCCAGCGTGTTCACTGTCGTCTGCAGCTGACTGACCTGTAGTACAATACGCCAGCACCAGCACCACACACACACACACACACACACACACACACACACACACACACACACACACACACACACACACACACACACACACACACACACCCAGGGCACAGCATTCAGAAAAAAGCAAGCGTACAACGGGCACACTAGACCACATGTGAGTTTTCGCCATCGGTTGACCTCAGAACTGCACACTCTTGGGAGCTTATGTACTCTTGCCAGTACAGAACAACAAGGACAATCAAGGGCTTGTTTGCTGCTACTTCAAGTTTCATGCTCTCGCAATCATCAGGCAACTCTTGCCAGTATAGTTATACTGAGTGCGTTCGATTATGCACGCGAATCGATTCACGAATCGATTCATGATGCGATTCGCGCTATTCACATCACCCCATGTGAATAGAGGGAATGGATTCCGAATCGATTCCAGGGCTCCTGACTTGAAATCGAACGACTTGAATGGATGCGAATGGATTCATGAATCGATTCAAGTGTGTAATCGAACGCACTCACTGTGGGGTGGCGACTGGAATCCGACGACCCCAGCTCGGTGCACTCACATTGCAAAAACCCAGCACTCGTTTGTACACTACCAACGTTAATCGTGACCGCTAGAGTCGGTACTGCACTCGAGTACAACAAATCAGGGGTCGGATTTCAGTTGCCATCACGGTATGTGCAGTGTAACAGAAACACCTACCGCATTTCCCCGAATGCAAGTCGCACCTTTTTATAGTTCAAAAACAAAGAAGGGGTGCGATTTACAATCGAGTGTGACTTCCTGCTCATCTGAATGTATTGACACAATTTGGTTCAGACCTAAAGTGGGTTGAGACTTATAATCGGGGTAACGCGGTAACAGAAGCAGAGATACTACTTACAAGTTGGTGATGGACACCGTCCGCGCTGTTCTGCTCAGAACGCAAGTTGTTGAGCTCAGCCTCGAGAACACTCGTCTGTAATGCAACACGCACACACACGCACACACACACAAGCGCACCGCGCGCACACATACACAATGTCAGTAGTCATTCTCAGAAGACGATAAATTGCCCCCCCCCCCCCCCCCCACACACACACACACACATATAATTATACACGTACACGCACGCCATAGTCATACACAATACATTGAAGGCAGACCGACTAACATCCAAAAACTGAAGCTACTGTTGGAAAGAAGTAGCCATGGCAGTGACAGAGGCTTTGGTGTACATGCAGGAAAGTTGTCATGGCCAGGGGCGGATCCAGGGGGGTGTGAAGGGTGCAAATGAACCCGTCAGGATTTTTCCAAAAAAAAAAAAAAAAAAGTCAGGCCAGGCCAGGCCCAGGCTCGCTGCGCGGATCCGCGGATGATTTGTGTGCAATCACGTGATCGTTCTGGACACGTGCTCGCGCCAGGGCTGCACATTTGGAATAGAACTTTTTTGGAACTAACTGTTACTTTTTCACCGGCAACAAACTCACTTCGAAGTTCTTTACTTTTGACGTTGCATGTTTCAGTTGTCGTGTTAGCTTCTTTCAAATTCTCACTGCTTGTTCCGACTCCGTTTCCGTGCATGCTGAGCGAAAATGTCGGACACAGCTGGTGGACCAGCTGGTGAGACCATGGAGCCTGCTGCTAAGCGTCGTTGTGAGAGCCATCATCCTTTTGACATTGGGCGATTTGCTGGATTGATGGAGAATGCCAGCAATGATGACATCAAGTCGCTCCTAGATAATGTTGGGAAGCCTTCGAACCGCATGGACTGCCCATCGACGTAAATTACTTGTAAATTTTGACATTCAATGTGTAACTAATCATACTACTCATCTTGGTGCTATGTGTAATTATGATATTATACAGTAACACACATAACATACTATGTCTTTGGTTTACTACTGCAAAAGAAAATATGTAAGTTTCATCCTCGCACCCCTCAGCTTTGGGGTCTGGATCCGCCCCTGATGGCAGCTACAGGAGATGTTGTGTACATGCAGGCAAGGTGTGATGACGATGACAGATGATGTTGTGTACACGCGGGTAAGTTGTCATGGCAGTTACAGAGGCATGCAAGGGCGGTGCATTCAGCGGCAATGGTGCCCTAGACCTAACTACAAGTAAACAAGAGCATGTACCTCAGCTGCGTGACGTTGCCTAGAGGCCTCCAGCTCTGCTTGGACATCACCATAACGCTGTCGCAGGCTTTGGAACTACACACAGATCGTGGCAGTGAGCACCGCACAGTGGCAAACAGAACAGGACAGACAACAGGACAGGCATACAATGGCAGACGGTGAGAGTGGAGTGACGACAACGATCGGCATACCCGCCACAGTTACAGGTAGGCTAACTCGCGCCTATGCACCACATTTCTTAGTGCAAGGTGAGAGTGGGAGGGGAGAGAGAGAGAGAGAGCGCGGGGGGGGGGGGGGGGCAAAGCGGGTTCATTTCTGATAAGAGCAAGAATGAAATGAGAATACAGAAACTTACCTCGCTCTGGGAATCGGACAAAGCTGCCCTCAGTAGCGTGACCTTCTCTTCTAGATCACTAGCCTGTGTGTACGCGCACATGCACACGCACACACACACACACACACACACACGCACACACACACACACACACACACACAAAAGCATACGCACATGCATACACAGTACAGAACAGAGAGCATAGACCATGACGAAGAAGTAGTCACTGATCACAACCTTCAAAGGACATCTGTTGTATTTCACCAACCAGAAGTAAGCTCTACCTGACCAACAACTTCAATGTTAAAGAAGAAAGAGTGTGTGTGTGTGTGTGTGTGTGTGTGTGTGTGTGTGTGTGTGTGTGTGTGTGTGTGTGTGTGTGTGTGTGAGAGAGAAAAAGAGAGATTGAGATAGATAGATAGAGAGAGGGGAGAGAGAGAGAGAGAGAGAGAGAGAGAGAGAGAGCGAGAGCGAGCGAGAGAGAGAGAGAGAGAGCGAGAGAGAGAGAGAAAGAGAGAGAGAGAGAGCGAGAGAGAGAGCGAGAGAGAGAGAGAGCGAGAGAGAGAGAGAGAGAGAGAGAGAGAGAGAGAGAGAGAGAGAGAGAGACTACGTTCAGCAACACCTACCTTCTGTGATAGAGCATTGTTTGCCTTGGGGTGCCTAGCCGCACTCACAAGCTCTGTGATCTTTTGCGAGAGTTTTTCTCGCTGCAGGAAAGAGCACAGACATCGGATCACATACACAATGAGTGTGAGACAGTCCACAACCAGATGAAAGCGAATGAAATGTTTGAGCGATGATAATCCGCCAGCGAAGAGAAGTTCACACACTGTTTTATTTCGTGTACTGCAGTGTCGCGTATAAAAGCATGACCTGTATAGAAGCATGACTCGAGTAAGTCGATTTTTTCGAAGGGTGCCATGACACAGAAGCATTATTTGAATAGAAGCCGCTCTGTACAAAAGTACATGTGCAAGTACATGCGTGGCAGTATGCACTGCACAGTGTAGACTGATGATGTTGACATAGAAGCAACTTTTGAACAGAAGCATGTTTTGAACAGAAGCATGGTTTGAAACCCCGGCTAATACGGCCGTAAGCACCTGTTTTTATACGCGACACTACGGTATCCATAAGCAGAGGAATTGCACGGGGCAGCACCTCCACAGCACACCGGAAAGACCATGAACGGAACACAATGCTCTCAACATCCCACTCCGGCAAATCCGTACACTACCAGTGTCACCAAGAGTAATACATAACCAAGAGTGTGCAACTCCTATCTTGAGCTGCGATGGGCTCAACCACGGCCAATTTTTCTTTTTGTGTCATTCTCTGGCAGAAGTATGATGCAGTGCGTATGTTTTCCTGCTTGTTTTGTAGATACGGTGAGAGTTCATCAGGTTCAAGACACATCGGTCTATCGTCCGTTGTTCTGCTTCGACTACCGTAGCTGTAATGTACAAATCATTTGTACTTTGATCTCTGGCTATGCATGATGGCATCAGTGAGCCAAACCGCCGCCAAAGACTGATGTCACAAAATATTCTGCCATAGGCTGGGGGGGGGGGGGTCGTCGAGTTGCACACTCTTGGTTATGTACTCTTGGTATCACTAAGCACACATATAGAGCCAGGAATACAAGGAGCTTCTATCAGCCATTCACACACGCACTTACCTCCTCCTGCGATTTTTCTAGTGCCACCTCGAGCATCGTTTGCTGACGTTCATGGGCCATGATCTATGCAGAGGCAGGCGCAGATTCACGCACACATACACACGGGCGGATTCACATACACATACGGGCAGACTCATGTACACACACACACACACACACACACACACGCACACACACACACACACACACACACGCGCGGGCAGAACTCGTCAAACCGGCTTATTTAACATGCTAGCATGCTACGGGGTGACCTGGTGACAGGAGCAGGTAAACACTACCGTATTTTCCAGAGCATAAGCCGCACCCAGATGTGTTGTCACGAAATACAGACATCTACTCCGTTTATCACCGTGAATTTGACCATCGGAGTATAAGCTTTTTCTGGGTGAATCACCGGTGTATAAAGACTTAGTGCGTCTTTTAAAGTACGGTACATCACGTCCGACCCACAGCAGCGCCTCACCTTCTCCCGGAGCACCGAGTTCTGAATGCGCTGCGCGTCGACGTCTTGGTCGATCTGCTGCACTCGGAGACGCTTCAGCTTGAGCTCATGCACGTTGAGTCGAGACTGGACCTTAAGGTCGTCAATCTCCTTACGCAGCACATCAATGACCGTCTGCCGCTGGGTCAGCTGCAAAGAGGAAAGACAATCAGCACAGCGTGAAATGCCATATGAGAAAACCATAAGTTAATGCGCCCTCAGATACTCTCAAAAGGCAAGTGTTCAACTAGAAACACAATCAGTTTGTGCAGACTAACTAGCACATGGATGCCAAACGCCGATTTCAAAGTAGTCAAGTTTCAGAAATTTTTGGTGCTCAATATTTTCGGTATATGGTCAAAAGGCCAGGTGAGGTGAACAGAAATTTTAGGTACAGAGAAGCAGTTTCCTATTGGATTATGTGTGCTAGTGTTTGTTTGCTGTATTGAAATTTTAGGTATGAAACAGACGCACCGAAAGTACTGAAAATAAAGTACACCGAAAATTTGTGAAATTACAGTAAACAGATAACCGACACACGTACATTGAAACCCTGGTTTCTCCATAGACTTCAAATAAGCATGGAACTCCATAGGACATCCGTATCACTCACCTCGGCCGTTAAGATATCGCTGGTCTGCTTGACCTGCTGAAGTTCTTGCTGCTCGGCATTCTGCGCCTCCATCTTGCTGCTTTCGGCTGCTTCGGCAGACTTGCGAGCGGAGTTCTCGGCAGCAATGCAGCGCGCCTGCAACTTGACATTCTGGTCCTGCTCAGCACGGAGCTGTACACATTCAATATACCCAGCAGCAGCACACAAACACGTGTGCACAAACGGCAACGTGCGACGCACACACACACATACATGCACACACACACATACACACAGACATGCCCACCGACAGGCGGGCACACACACACACACACACACTGTCACACACACACACACACACACAAACACACACACACACACACACACACACACACAAACACACACACACACAAAGGATTGTAAGAGCCACAGCAACCTGGGAGAGTATCGATTCGCTATGCCTCACAACAAGCTCTGCTGAACTGGATGCGATTTCCAATACACTTCCAACGATTTTCACCAGGGATGGAACAGTTATGCAATGTTGGCATCCAGGTCTCATAAGTCACTGTGAGAAGTACTCAATAAGGACATCAGTTCCGAAGGTAAATCTTATACACGTATACAGTTGACAAATCACAATGCTGTGACTAGTATGATTAGGATCAAAGCTGAACATATCCGTATTATCCTGAAGTGCTAACGGTATCGTGGTACTATCCCGATATGGCGATTGGCAGTTAATGCATTGCAATTTTACGGGGCAGTACATGTAGATCCATGTTCTTCTGTACTCTTTAGTACGATCAGTTCGTGATTTAGATTCCAGGCATCAGCGACAGCGACTCTACAACAGACCAGTTCTCAAACTGGTCAACTGTTGTTTCCGTACGAATACACAGCAAGAACAACAGAAATGCATTACCTTCGCTATCACTTTGTCGTGTTCTTCTTCTGCTGCTGCCAACGACCGCCTCAGTTGAGTGAGCTCTTGGCCAGCATCTGTCAACTAAACGAAACCAGAAACAGCACCAGTTAGATAATACAGAGCAGAGAGAGCGAGAGCGAGAGCGAGAGAGAGAGAGAGAGAGAGAGAGAGAGAGAGAGAGAGAGAGAGAGAGAGAGAGAGAGAGAGAGAGAGAGAGAGAGAGAGAGATAGGTGACACTAGTACGGAATGGATACTATAAACTCTCAAGGCTTACGGTTAGATATTAAGTACCCGTGCAAAAAAAACAACGAAGAGACAACCGTATTTGTCGGAGTATAGTGCGCACCTTTGTATAACGCGCACCCCCAATCTTCATTGGGGGTGCGCACTTCAATCTTCATTGAAGTACGTGCATTTCATATTCGGAGCATAGTGCGCACCTGCGATTTAGGGCCTAAAATAGCACATCTAAAGTGCGCACTATACTCCGGAAAATACGGTAGTACTATCAAAAATAATGAAGAGACTAGTACTCTCACAAATAATGAAGATAACACACAGCTCAACTTCCTAACCTCTCGAGACAGCTGATCAGCCTTGGCAATGTAGTTGGAATGAGATCGCAGCGACTCCAACTCCCGTGTTAGCTGAACGCAAAACACAAAGCAACAGCAGTAGTAGGACAGTCAGTTCACAGCAAGCTTCACTTGATTAGTGCCAAAGAAGCGTGCTCCTGCAGACAAGGTAGTTACTCGAGCAGGTTTCACTTGCATACGATGGACACAGGGCCATCAGTGATGCTTACACCAGATACAGTACTGTAAAACATGTAATTTTCGGTGTAACTATAATTTTTAAAGTGATTTAAGTGATTTCGGTAGAGAAACCAGGCACCTAAATTTAAATTACACCTAAAAGGCACTAGAGCATGCACTGTATGTGAACGGAACGCTGGTCACCTAATTCTACATTACACCTGAAACCTGACAGGTCCCTGGCACCGAAATTTTAATGCACCTAAAATTACATGTTTTACAGCACTTGTTTACAAGGTTCAGTAATTCAAAAAGGGAGTTAGAGCACTCTGCAAAAACATGGTAGTATTCTAGTGATTAATGCACAGCCATGCCACTGGGTATGGGCAACGCACTTACTGACTCTTCCACTTCACTGCGATGATGTCGGAGTAGATTGACTTCGATCTGCAGCTGTGTTGCCCGGTCTCGCTCCACATGGACCTGACGAGAAAACGATGCCCGACATAGAGGTGCATAAGCTGAAAACATTCTATAAAATTGAATAGCACGATAGGTAGGAAACACGCTGCAGCGAAAGAGACACTTCACTATTAAACTGAAACGACGTTGACTGAAGTACCGAGGCAACAGTACCTGCAATTGATACAAGTGCAACTATGTAATTCGAAGAGGCTTACAAATCACCATAATCATATCTCATTAGAATACTTCAAATAGCCAGACAGAAACTGAACAAATCTGTGTTGAAAGGCTCACAACCCACTTCACCTCGGCTATGCAAATCCGGACTTATAGGAAATGAGCCAGAAAGAGTCCACAGCCGCTGCACACATATCTACACCCACCTCCTGGAGCATTTTGGTGCGATTCCGTTCCAGCTCGCTCGCTTGGTCCTGGGCAGTCTGCAGCTCTTCCGTTTTCAGGACAAGCAGCTGGCGTACACGCTCACACTCCGACTTGAAGCGGTTCAGGTTGGTCTCGTTGGCCTCGCTCGTCGTCTTCCACTGTTCGGCCTCGTCTTGGCTCTGCTGCAGCGAACAGTTGGCATTGGACACGTCATCCTTCATGTCCAACAGCTGCAACTCCAGCTCCTGAACCTTTTGCTCCAGCTCCTCGTCCGCGTCGCTCTCCTTGAGGCGCTCGATCTCCTCGTCGCGTGCCTGGATCTGCAATACAAACAGTCAAGGACAACGGTAACAACGAGCATTAGCAGGCAAAATGGTCTACAGTGCATTTCAAAACTATAGACGCGTAGGGTTTTTGAAATATTTCAAATTCGGCTGGAACTTTTTGAGAATAGTTTTCGGAATATTGCTCAGGATCGCTCCACGATTACTCTCATATAGTTTCTAAAGGATTGGATAACAGACGCCCAATTTGGAAAATTTTATGCACAAAGTGATCACAGATTTTATGTGGTATAGATGCTGGCATAACGGTTTTTGCCTAGGTACGCGTCTATAGTTTTGAAATGGACTGTAGTGGACCTGTAACTGTAGGTCAGTTCAAACAGCAACTATGCGTCTTCATGTCTTCAAAGCTGAGGGAGAGCTATACAGTAGAGTTAGTCCTTTGTTCACACAGTGCCTTTACCAGTCTCATGATCGTGTAAGCGTGAGTCGCAATAAACTTGATGCCTCGTTCTACCATATTCACATATCAAATTATCAATTATCAATGACATGCTGACTAAAATGAACCCACCACCTGCAGACGGCTCAATGTGAATCTACACAGCATATACACCACTGCATCCATTCGTCACCAACAGCAACAATGGACGGCATATGTTTTTTGTAAAAACCGAGAGTACACGCCCCCATCAGCAAATCTCATTTGTAGAATGGCTTACCATGTCCTTGTGGCGTGCACACGTGGCCTCCATTTCAACTAGGTCAGCGTGCTGCTTCTCCAGTGACGTTTCGTTTTCGGACAGCTGCGGTCGAAAGAACAGGAACGAAGAAAGAATCAATGCTGCTTCGAAGTAAAAGCACTTGGGTTGATACACCAGACAGCAATCCAATGATAGAAAGCTCAACTCGAAATGCATGGAGCATAATCGGTGGCCAAAAACAATAATCAGCAGCAAGCGAAGAAGGACTGTCTTCGTTGTGGCGTGGAATTGTCAATGCACAAAGAGTTGACGTCTTAGTGCTACATGGTACCACGTAGATACAGGGTAGACAAAGCACAGTAGCAGAAGCCCACACCTTTACAAATGGGTACATGCCCCCCCCCCCCACACACACATCCCACACACACGGAGACTCCCTGATTTAGGCTGACACCCATGGAGAATCCCATAAATACAAATGCAATACAATTCACACAGTTCTAAGCGACCCGCACCTCGGCTCTCGCCACATGCAGCTGGTGCTGAAGCGTCTCGACCTCAGCCTGCAGCTCCACCTTGTCATACTGCACGGGGAACACAGACGAAACCAAAACATAGTCGAGTGTTACTAGACTCTCTGTGAGGTGCCAGGTGCCACTCAAATCAATACTACACACACACCAACCCCGTCCAAGCAGCTAGACTTTCAAGACCCAGTCAGACTCGCTTGCCTAGCCAGGTGAAGACACTGCCTAAAAATTAAAAATTAATTCACGGTTCGCGTCAAACTCGGTTAGAGGCCGAGTTTTCCGCACCCGTAGGAACGCCGCCACTACCCTTCAAGGATCAAGGCGCAGATGCAGCTCCTAAAGCGGTGGGAGGTGAGTAGATCAGCTCACCAGCAAGTGGTCAAAGATTAAAAAACTGGTCTAACCTGCTTCTAAAAATTTAAAAATAGACATTGCACACTGATGTGAGCAAAGCATCGCAGGGTCTACGAGTTACGCCCTGCATTTAACAACAGTCCCATGGTGCCTTAAGTTATTTCTTTGGACAGGTGGTCAAACGTGCTGCAGTGGTCAAGATAGGCCATATATTTCAGTCTAAGGACAGGCAGTGTGCACTTGTCATCACCGGCTCAAATGTGCTGTAGTGACCATGATGGCATGATAGCTAATCTTTCTACAGACCGACGCTGTACCAACACATGGTCAAACGTGCTGTGGTAACCACGACAGATAAATCTCTCTACAGACCGGAGCTGTACCAACGCATGTTCAAATGTGTTGTGGTAACCATGATAGATACATCTCTCCACAGACCGGAGCTGTATCAACACATGTTCAAATGTGTTGTGGTAACCATGATAGATAAATCTCTCCACAGACCGGAGCTGTATCAACACATGTTCAAATGTGTTGTGGTAACCATGATAGATAAATCTCTCCACAGACCGGAGCTGTACCAACGCAGGTTCAAATGCGTTGTGGTAACCATGATAGATACATCTCTCCACAGACCGGCGCTGTATCAACACATGTTCAAACATGCTGTGGCAACAGCAAGAAAAACCCGTAAGACCGGTGGTCTCACATTGTACTGCTGTGGTGACCATGATGGCATGAAAGCTGATCTTTCTACAGACCGGCAGTGCATCAAGGCATGTTCAACTGTGATATGGTGGCAGGGATAACCAGGTGGTCTCTCTTAGCACTGGGATTAGGGCACAGGCAGTGCTGGACATGTAGAGTCAGGGAAAGTACCGCTACCTACCTCGGCAGTCTCCAGTGCCATACACTGCTCCTGCAGGCGGTCAACAGAGGCTTGCAGGCTGTTCTTGGCTTCATTCAGAGTATCCACCTAGTCAGTACACAATGACACACACAATGACACACACAATGACACACACACAGACACACACAGGCATTTTTCTAAATAATTTGGTCACCTATGCACTCTCCTGCAAGCTACACATTCTTGGTTGCATGTCTACAAATAATAGTAGAGCACAAAACAGGAGAGATCTATTGTATGAATACCTCTTCCTGTTCTTGGTTCAAATTTTCTTGCAGGACCGTCATTTTCGCTGAGATGGCAGTATTCGTATCCTCAAGCTTTGCAATCTACGACGAGAAAAGCACACAGCACCACCAAGATTAAACACAAATGAAAGGGCAGCGGTAACGAACAAGACTTTTTACGACAACTCGCATCCTTTACAATCCTTCAGGGTCAAATCTGAGTCTTGCCATCATAGAAGCATTGCTGCAAGGGTTCCCTTTTCTCGTCCCGGGCCGGGGGGGGGGGGGGGGGGGGGGGGCTACCCCGCTACACGGCCCACTGAGCTCCTCATCAGTTAGGGGGTTTCCCCAAGACACAGGCTAACAACAGAAATCACAGTAGGTCACACTCTTTAGCCATAGAAGACGTCAACAAGTCTGAAGTATGCGGATCACAAAGCTGCAAGCTCTAGGATATACCAGTACATGTACACGAATACTTGTGAGCAAAAAAACGCATGGGTAGGTGTTACTGTGTAAGAAGGGAAGTGTAAAACGATACACAGAGAAGGTAGTCATACTAAAGCAGCCACAACGGCAACAATCTCCGCGGAGAGTTAACCGCAGATCAGCGCTGCAACACTGACCTGCTCGAGACAGAGTTTGTTTTCCTGCTGTAACGTCTCGACGGAAATGTTGAGCTTGGCTACTTCTTCGGTGCTGTGTGAGCCCTAGAGAACAGCGACAATCAATACAACAACGTACCACACTTAAGCTTACGGAGATGAAGATTTAGCATGGTTTTAACGGGCAGGGTGTACAAAAGGGTATGTGGCCTCCAAGGGAGTGCTAGTCTAGATCTAACAAGATTCGCAGCCAGTTTGGAGAGGTCTGTAATGCTGTTCTTGTAGAAGGTCAACAAGAAGGTGACCAGATCAAGAATCCTAACAAGCTCTGTACGATTGATAGGTACTGTGGCACAGGTCAGCGCACATACCTTCTCAAGCAATTTCGTCTTCTCCGATTCCAGCTGCGACACTTGCGCCTGAAGTCGACTCAGGCTAGTGGATTTCTCCACAACCTGGACACAGACACGACCAGTCACACACGCAAGACGGAAATAGAAGGAATGAGATTCGGACACTAGAACGCACAGTAGTACCGCAAAGAAGCAAAGTCCGAACAAGGTAGAACAAAGCAGTAACAATCAAACACTCAGCCAGTCCGGCAGGATTCCACAATTCGAATGCACACACAGTGACGGTACTGCATCAGGTGCCATCCATAATTATCGATATTTTACATGAAAAGGAAAAGTTTCGTTTATGGGTGGGTGGGTCAAGGAGAGCTCCGGTTTGAAAACTATTGATATGTGAGTCATCAATGCATTCTAGCTGTGAAGTCAATCTATTTTTCGTTCGGGGGGGGGGGGGGGGGGTCCTAACTAAACTTTTTCGTTTCGTGAAAATTATCGATAATGCCGGATGGCCCCTTATGTACTGTATATTCATGCTCACACAAACACCAAACACACAGTGTCATGGCAGGACAACAAGATAAGCAACACAAAATCAACACATACACACAGGGACCAACGCAACAATGCCAAAGCATGCCATGACTTAAAAGTAAACAGCACATGTACTTCAACTGCAGCGTTGTGACATGATAATTTATTACGGCAGCGGCATTGACACTGTAATGGCAGGGAATGGCAGCGCAAACGCGACAAACCTCGTCCTGAGTTCTCCTGAGCGTGGTGATCGTTTCCTCCAGCGAGCGTGCCACCTCTCCGTATGCATGACTGTGCTTTTTGGCCTGGCAGTGGTTGCAGGCATGACACCATGGCGAGATGGAAGAACATGGCCATTGGCAGTGCAGTCATGAATGATAGGACCAGAGAGGAGGGTAGCACAAGTAACATGAGACCATGGATGGATGGACAGCAGCAGTGGAGTATGACAACGACGACACCGAGACGACAACAGCAGCAGCAGCAGCAAGAGCAACAACAGCCATGAGCAGCCAGGCGGCGTGAAGTTAGGTGTCAATGCCAAGAACTGTAAGGCACAAACCCTCACTTGAACGGGAAAGAGTGCCAGGTGAACGCACCAGTACAGCAAGGTAAGTACATGTATACCACACCACACTGAATACCCGTATACAACACCACAATGAGTACCTGCATACAACAATACGAGCGGCTTTTAATTTCTACATTGGCATGTGTCAGAACTGTACGGGTACCACTCGTGGAATGCCAATGCGGCCAGAAGTCACGGTGCAACATAACGTTGGCTAGCTACGTATGCACATGGCACGAGCTGTCTCCGCATGCGGACGGTTAGCACCCCAAACCCTTGACCCGAGGCAGCACAACACGCACCTGCTCGTTCGCCCCGTCCGACACTCCAACCACCTGGTCGCGCAGCTGACTGATCAACTGGTCCCGGTCTGTTAGCTATGTACACAACAACAAGAAGCAGCAGCAGCAAAAACAGCAGCAAAAACAGCAGCAACAACAGCAGCAACAACAAATTAACACAGATCAGCTATGGATGAAAACGAAGACTGCACACATCATACCACCGCAATCTATCATTCTAAGCCCATGCGGCAGTCAAGCCATCAGGCACACAAGGGCCTCGCACTGCATGATGCCAGAGTAAGGTAAAACAATGGGTAAACGCAGCACAGAAAACTGTGCTTTGTGACTAGTACGGTTTCACAGAATAGTTTCACAGCACACATCTACAGGACACGTGGGTTTACATGTACATGTAACTTAATTCAATATAGGCATGCCAGAATCCAGCTACAGTGAATGACA